AGATTAAACACTTCTGATCTAGTCATAGAGTCATAAAACCATCTAGATTGGAAGGGACCATTAAGATCCTCGAATCCAACCATTAACCCAACACTGCCAAAACCACCACTAAACCATGTCTCTAAGCACCACACCTACCCGTCTTTTAAATACATCCAGGAACAGTGATTCAACCACTTCCCTGGGCAGCCTGTTCCAATGTTTGATAACCCTTCCAGTGAAGCAATTTTTTTGAGTCCAACCATCAACCTAACCCTGCCAAGTCCACCGCTAAGCCATGTCCCTCAGCACCACGTCTACCCATCTTTTAGATACTTCCAGGGGTGGTGATTTAACCACTTCCTTTGGCAGCCTGTTCCAATGTTTGATAACCCTTCCAGTGAAGCAATTTTTTTGTAATATCCAATCTCTACCTCCCCTTGTGCAACTTGAGGCCATTTACCTTTCATTCTGCAGAAACCTCCCTTCATGGTCTCCCGTTTCTAAAATAAGCGATCAGTCGCTCAGTGCTCTCACAGAGCACAGAGTTGTGTTTCGAGCTGTGATTTTAGTTCTTTTGATCTCCAGAGCCTTAGAAGTTTTTCACACAATGAGTGAATCCTTTTACAAATTTCACAGAATCACAGAATCTTCATGGTTTGAAGGGACCTTTGAGATCATTGAGTCTAACCGCAAAAAAAAAAAAAAAAAAGAAAAGAAAAGAAAAAAACAATCCACAACACAACCCAAACCAACAAAAACCAACAATCCCGGTCACTAGAGCATGCCCTGAAGTGCCACGTCTACACGTTTCTTAAATACCTCCAGGGATGGTGACTCTGCCACCTCCCTGGGCAGGCTGTTCCAGTGCCTGACCACTCTCTCAGTAAAGAAATTCTTCCTAATATCTAATCTAAACCTCCCCTGCCACAGCTTGAGACCATTTCCTCTGGTCCTGTCATTATTCCCTTGGGAGAAGAGGCCAACACCCACCTCTCTACAACCTCCTTTCAGGTAGTTGTAGAGGGCAATGAGGTCTCCCCTCAGCCTCCTCTTCTCCAAACTAAACATGCCCAGTTCCCTCAGCCTCTCCTCACAGGACTTGTTCTCCAGACCCCTCACCAGCTTGGTGGCTCTCCTCTGGACATGCTCCAGCAGCTCAATGTCCTTCCTGTAGTGATGGGCCCAGAACTGAACACAGTACTCGAGGTGAGGCCTCACCAGTGCCCAGTACAGAGGCACCATCACTGCCCTACTCCTGCTGGCCACGCTGTTCCTGATACAGGCCAGGATGCCGTTGGCCTTCTTGGCCACCTGGGCACACTGCTGGCTCATGTTCAGCCGTCTGTCCACCAACACCCCCAGGTCCTTTTCTGCCGGGCAGCTTTCCAGCCACTCTTCCCCAAGTCTGTAGCGTTGCCTGGGGTTGTTGTGACCGAAATGCAGGACCTGGCACTTGGCCTTGTTGAACCTCATCCCATTGGCCTTGTCCCATTGATCCAACCTGTCCAGATCCCTCTGCAGAGCCTTCTGACCCTCAAGCAGATCAACACTCCCACCTAGTTTGGTGTCATCTGCGAACTTACTGAGGGTGCACTCAATCCCCTTATCTAGATCATCAATAAAAATATTAAACAAGACTGGCCCCAAAATCAAGCCCCCAGGCACACCACTGGTGACCGGTCGCCAACCAGATTTCACCCCATTAATCACAACTCTCTGGGCACAGCCATCCAGCCATTTTTTTACCCAGTGAAGGGTACACTTGTCTATGCCATGATTCACCAGCTTCTCCAGGAGGATGCTGGGGGGGACAGGGTTAAAGGCCTTATCAAAGTCCAGGTAGACAACAGCGACAGCCTTCCCTGCATCAAGAAGGCAGGCCACATGGTCATAGAAAGAGATCAAGTTGGGTAAGCATGCCTTCCCTTTCATAAACCCATGCTGGGTGGCCCTGATCCCTTGCCTGCCCTGCACTTGCCGTGAGAGCTCACTCAAGATGATCCTCTCCATGATCTTTCCTGGTACACATGTTTCACATTATGCTAATTTCACATATGCTAATTGCTAATAATGCTGGTAGCATCCATACACTTTCTTTTCTGAGTTGCTTCTGCAGATTGTTTCAAAATGTGGTGGTAGCTGACAGGCTGTGACAGAGGAGCACGTTTCACACCTTCCATAAACTATTTGCACCAGCAAAATGAGAGGATTTCGTGAGAAGGATGCTTTACCTATGTAAAAGCACCTCATCCCTAGAATATCCAAGCTGCTCATACTTATGTTCAAACTTGCCTTCAGAAATAAACCACGTTTGGGTATTTTTCGTCCAACTTGTCTTGATGCAAAGGCAAACCCTCACTAATGAGTGAGGTGATAGGAAAGGCTCAGGCCCATGTCTGGGAAGATACTCCCCACTTCAACTATGCACCCCAGGATTTCTTTATTCTGGTTGAGATAAGGGCTTACACAAGCGTTACGTTTAGGATTTATGTTAGTTTATGCTCCTTTTGTGCCAGTATGTGGTTTCCATGAGACAAACTGACAGTGGGGCCACACGCAGCGCTGAGGCTGTGCCAGTGGCTACTCCTTCCTGCTCACTGTATTAAAAAAGATTAACCCTCATTGTTATTTGTATTCCTTTCCACAGTATGAGTACCTGGTATTAAATTGTGATTTCCTTTGCCTGGAGCAATTAAAACATGTCCTTCGGGAAGATCAATTTTACTTTCTTAAGTCAGAGTATATAAGGTAGTGCCGGGATCTCTTGAAAAGTCAGTTTCTTCCCACAATTGCTTTTTGTCCTATTTTTGAAATCTTTTCCTTCATGGTCTGTTTTTAGTAATCATTATTCCGCAGTCAAACACAACAACTTCTCTGCTCACCCAGAAGAAGATGATAATATGCTTTAGACAGTTAAATGAGCCCGTATTTCCTCACTCAAAGCTTATACTGAATTAGTGTATTTTTCCACTTACCAGTTCTCCAATGCAGAATTTTGAGTTTATGTCCTGTTCATAATGACGTTTCACAACATATAACTAAGTACAGTCTTTGTTTATTTTTATGTTGTATTGTTAATAAGAAATACAAATAGTAGATCTTTCCTGGAATATTGTTATTGCACTGTAGCAACACTTATCTTTGGATACAATAATCAAAATAGCCTATGGAGGGCAGCAAACCTCAGGCAATTACAAAGTTTTGTAAAATAACATGAAATCTGTAATTCTGTTTTAATAGGATTGCTCAGTCATTTAAGTCATTTAGAAAGTAACTGTATTCTGTTATGTTTTATTAAATTATGTTATATAAGTAAGGCAGAACCTCTTAATAATTTTTTTATAACTGGATCTTAGTATGTGTAGATGACACCAAAGTGGTGAGAAGATAGATTTGATATGCTTGAGCCTACCTGGGCAGGCTGGAGGAATAGGCCATCAGGAACTTCACCAAGTTCAATGAGGACAAATGCAAAGTCCCATCTCAGGCTGAGTGGGGTGATACTGAACAGGATTTACTGACCAGGTAGTGTCTCTGCTGGAAAGGATGGAGGGTCCTGGCTAAGCAGGAGTCAGGAGTGCACCCTGGCAGCTGTGAAGGCTAATGGCATCCCAGGTTCTATCAAGAGGAGCACAGACAATGGATTACTGGGAAGTGATCGGGAAGTCATTATTTCCCTTTACTTGGCTCTTGTTTGCTTGGATGTGGAGTATGATGCCCAGTTTGGGGGTTTCCAGTAGAACAATATGGATATGGAAAATTATTGATAAACTGGAGTGAGTTCATCCAGAATTACCAAGACAGTCATGGGCTGGAACGCTTTCCCTATAAGAGAGGCTGTAGCCACCAGGGCTTTTTCAGCTGGGAGAAGGAACAGCCTGCCAGTACCAAGGAGGTACTGAGAAGACAGAGCCAGGATTTGTAGCAAAGTGCACAGTGGGAAGAGAGACAGTGATCATAAATTTGAAAGAAGCGAGGTTCAGAGTAGA